ATAATAATAATAATTTAGTGTACATGTACATGCATACATGTATGTACTTTGTTGCTAAAAATAGATACAAAACGATATAACACGTTACTAAAAATACCCACCAACAAATACAATATGTACAAATGATAATGTCTTGATTTGATGAATCAATGGCATTTTAACCACCACACCTCCTTTACCTCTGATTTTCTCGACAATTTCTGCATAATCATCATCCTAGCACTGCTCCCTAATATGGAGACCATGGACTTCTTGTTACCATTGTCATCACCTGTGGATTGATAATTGGGAGGAGCTAGTTAATACAAAATTTGGGCATGTACTATAGTACAGTGTCTTTGGCAAAATTTTGTCAAAAATGGCAACAAGAGATTTCTTTATTTTTATATTTTTTTTTCTGATGCGTATACATGTTCTTATGTTAAGTACAAAGTTTGAACTGATTCCAATCAAGTTTGGATTTTTTATGAATTTTAAAAGTTGCTCCAAAATTGGGCCAAAGTCCCTGTACTATAGTACAGGGATTTTGGTCAAATTTCGCCAAAAACGAAAAGTAGAGAATTCTCCCTTTTTATAATTTTTCCTGATACATATAAATGTTTTTATGTTGCGTAGAAAGTTTGAGCTGATTCTGATCAAATTTATATTTCTTATGAATTTTTAAAGTTGCTCCAAAATCGGGTCAAAGTCCCTGTACTATAGTACAGGGATTTTGGTCAAATTTCGTCAAAAATGAAAAGTAGAGAATTCTCCATTTAAAAAAATTTTCCTGATACATACACATATTTTCATGCTGTGTAGAAAGTTTGAGCTGATTCCGATCAAATTTGAATTTTTTTACAAAATTTCGAAGTTGCTCCAAAATCAGACCAAAGTCCCTGTACTACAGTACAGTGTCTTTGATCAATTTTCATTCAAAATGCACAGGTGACAATTCCCCATTGTTATCACGTATACATGTACATACAAAGTAATCCTTTCCCTCTCTCTCTTTCTCTTACCGTCCACAATACAAAGGTTAGGGTCTTTATTTTGACTTGAGGAGTAGCCCAGAGCAGCTGAGGTTAGGAGACTAGGGAGGACTGGAGCAGCATTAGGAGGGAAGAGAGGAAGGGGAGGGGTCAACACCTACACAACAAAAAAAAAAAAAAAGAATTGAAAAGGTTAGATTAGAATTACAAAATAATTAAAATACATGTACATATTGTCTACTAACTTATTACAACTACAATGTATTAGCAACCAAGGCCAGTTATTTATAAGCAACCTTTACTATTATTATATTAAATAAATAAATAAATGATTATAAATTCATAATTAAAGGCACTTTTTACTGAGTCTGATATAGCTATTACATTGAAGTACCCATTACATTAACTAAATCTACTTTTTACTAGCTAATTATCATACTAATTACTAGGGGCTTCCCTGTCCCACCCTCAGGAACTGTCCCCCCAGATCAAACAGGTTCATTGATGAGATGCCATCAGCTGCACTTTTATGATTCTCGTAATCAATGAAGCCCCACCCCCTGTGCTTCCCTGGGGCCGTGTCTGGGGCTAGCTCAACTTTCTTGATCTTACCAAATGCCTCAAAAACACTGAGAAAGAAAAAAATTAATTAAATTAATCAGAAATATAATAATAAAATCAATAACTAATCCATGGTGTATAATGCAGAAAATGAAATAAATTCTGAACTTGAGG